GGGTTGAAGGTTATGCTGTGCACCTAGCGTCTGGATAGCTACACCTCGCTCACGTGGGCAACAGAATACAAATCGGACGCAAATTTCTTCTATTATACCTGAATCCTGGAAAGCAAAATTTCTCGAAAATGAGGAAAACAAGTTGCTCTCGATAATTCGTAGTACCTACTTCGATAATTTTCCAGTGCTCTTCACCTAGCTCACACAATCCATCACACGTTTCCACACGACCGTGCTCCTTAAGTAATTCTCGGACTCTGTTCTCCAACTTCATCGCTCCAATATTAGAAAGCTCCCAACACGATAACATTACCACGCCTTCGGCAACCTGCAAAGATACACTAGTGGTTAAACAAGAATGGGCAGGAGTTGAACCCAGGTTTCACCCTTTACGGGGCGCGTGTTAACCACTGCACCATCGAGGCTCTTACTCTGCTATACACAGCATGAGATATACTTACAATATAAAACTACTAGACTCGAATATCTCCTACCGGAATTGCTAACGTCTCAGCATATCCAACATCGACAACGAGCGCATAATCGGTGTTAAATGGAAAAGTTGCGCAGAGATGTGAAGGAATGAATAGTACACTAGGCACATTCAACACAACCAGCAGTGCCTAAATGAAGAAGATCAAAGGACGAAAAGATAAAGCTCTCAGCGTTGATCAATCCTTGTGAGATACGCCATGCATTCGCCTTCACCTAGTTGACTGTTCCATAGGCTTAGGCACTAGAGCAATATATACCATTTGTTAGCATTTGTTTGCATTTTTATAGCATTTGTTGACCAGAAGTAATCGAAATTGCATGATTTTGACATTGATCGACTGCATATCTTGTTGCGAAGATTTTGGTATACAACTTGCCTATATTTCCTTTGAGATGGAGCTGCCGTGGAAACAGATTTGCCTGCTACTCATGTATGAATGGCGAGTAGAGGAAAATGCTAGTGAAATGGCGTCCAAGATTAATGGAGCTTGTGGCGATGATACGACTGCAGAAAGGACGGCTCGGATGTGGTTCGCAAATTTCAAAACTGGACAGAAGAGCTTGGAAGACCAATGGCGCTCGCATTATCCACGGGAAACTACATTAATCTTGTGCGCCGCCTCACCAGCATTTTACCCTATGCGCTTTTCGTGCATGAGTAGCAAGCGAATTTGTTCCAAAGACAGCTTCATCTTCAGAGAAGTACAAGCAAGTTGAATGCCAAGTTGTTCGCAAGAAGATGCGCAATTGAACGATACCAAAATCATGGAATTCGATTATTTCTGGCTTGCGAATTCGTTGTTTATTGCTCTCGTGCCAAAATTTATGAAGCGACCTGACAGCGCCGTTTGAGTGAACATATATCTGGCCTGTACAGTGGTAGCCCACCGAATTATCAAGTCAGAGGTGGCCAACATCTCAGACTAGTCTGGTATCAACTCGCCGAGTCCGCAGCGATAAAAGGCTTGGTGAGTCCTAAGCGTGAGATTGAACCATCAGCCATCGAATGATCGACCAGTGTGGGTCGCATAGCATCTATAATCACTGCACCGCGCGCGCTCACTTAACATTCGGTAATCTTGAACCTAAACGGTTCTGAAGAAGACAAAGTCGCCGTTAGTTCAACCGTCGATTTTGCAGAAGAGATGAACCTCGCACAGTTTCTGATCAAAAGGACATGTTGCGAGTATCCTGCATTTTTCGTAAGAACGGCATATAGCATCTCCTTTCAATCGACTACTTTGAGAGCTCGCTTGAAATCGAATATAGTCTGATAAAACAGAATTCCAAGCGAAGGTATTGCTAAATGCTGTTCTTAGTAGCCGTGAGCCATTGACTGACAATCACTCCAGACCGCAACATAAAGTGATCTTTTCACTTGACGCGGTGTGATACATATTCGCGTCGCTACCCTAGTTGTAAAGATGAACCGAAAAGCATGTGTGGTACTTATGACGCTTTCAAGGAAGTCGAAAACGCACGTCTACCACTAGAGATGCATATCAGATCTCTTGAAAGACTTAAGACACTCTATCAGACTACCTTTCATTTGAAAGGTCCTCGACTTGACACAGCAGAAATTGCTTAGTCAAAATCTCCGTCGTTTCTGAGAACAGAAATTGGACGTCACGCACCTCACATATGGCCTCTCTTAGACCAGTTGGTGTCAGTAGATTCTCAACGATAACAACTCGTCGATCACGTGGCATAGTTAAGAGACAGCTGAAACGCAGGACCTTCTTGAACAAACTGGCTAACTAGACGATGAAATCATTTGTAATACCTGCTGAAAATCTGTTGAAAGAATTTGACAATCGCTGATAAACGTGGTTGAGTGAACTGATGACCGCCATTCTGCGCGTCGTTCTGTTCATAAAGAGAAGAGTGGAAATACTTTGAATGAATAATCGCTCGTGGAACGAATTCACCAGCAAATCCAACTCTAAAACATTGAATTGGACTAACACAACTGCAAAGAGACTCAAGTAAAGCATTAAAGGATTAAGGATAAAGCTCTCGGTGTTGATCAATTCCTGAAGAGAAGTGTCATGCATTCGTCTTCAATTTTTAACTTCGTTTGAGGTCACTGAATGCATATAGAACCTTTATGATGACTCGGGGTGGCGTCCGACTATATCGAGTCAGTGCTGCTTACCCTTCCAGACAAGTCTGAGACCAGTCAGGTACCAATTTACCGATCCGCAGGGATGTATGGCTTCGTGAGCCATGGGCGCGAGATCGAACCACTGACCTCGTGTGCAACGCAGAGTACTGCTCACCGCTGCGCCACATGTGCTTTTATTGAAGCATTACCTACTAGAATTTAGCACCTGATTCTAAAGGATAAAAGCTAAAGCTCTCAGCGTTGATCAACCTCTAAGGGATATGTCTGTATTCGACTCATTCGTAGCATCATTCGAGGTGATCAAAGGCATGTCTGGCCTTTACAATGACTCGCGGTGGCCTCCCGCTGTACCGAGTCAGTGCTGCTTATCCTCCCAGACAATCTGAGACCAATTTACCAACCTCGGAGGATAGATGGCTCGGTGAGCCATGAGCGCGTAGATCGAACCACTGACCTCTTGTGCAACACAGATCACCTCTAACCACTGCGCCACATGCCCTGACTTATTGACTGTACCCATAACAAACCGGTGCCAGAGAAGCTGCTTACTTCATAGGTCTTTCCCGAGAATCCCAAAGCATCCCAGCCTCTACATTCTCACTTACCTGCCACCTTACAGCCAAGACTAATTTGTACTCTGATGATAGATTCAGGAGTAGATTATTGATGTACACGTAGTTTGACATCTAGGATTCCCAACGAAGACGTAGTAAATCCCTGGAGGAAAAGTGGGAAAGGGATGAAGCTGACGGCGCCGACCAATAATCGAGCGATTCTCCGCGCATTCTACTCCATTTGTAGCATTCCAAGAGGTGACTAAACGAATATCCGAGGCCTTTACAGTGACTCGTGGTGGCCTACCGATGTACCAAGTCAGTGCATGCTGATCTTCCCAAACACATCCGGGTTTACCAATTCACTGACCCCCGGAAGAACGGAAGGCTGGATGAGCCTAGTGGCGAGCGGGATCCAACCATCAACGTGTGTGTCGCAGGACACCTCTAGCCACTACGCCACAGGCGCCCACTGCGATAGCTAGAACGACATAGGGATAGAAAAAATCAAGCTCTAGAGATAGAAACTTACTTCGTCAGTCGTCTACCAATATCGATAATCACTGCCGGTTTACTATTCTCGATGCTATTAATGGCATGAGAAAGTGAAGTGCACGTCGCCAAGGAGGAGAGAGATCGTTGGCTGAAGCTTGACGGCTTCGCGGCCGTCGACATCGGACTCTGCAAAAGCTTCCTCGAACTTATGTGTTAGACGGCGACAAATTTATAAGCCGATCTTATTCGCTGGACAGGATTTTTTCATAGCAATGTTAGTATTCATTCGAAAAGCTTGATACTCTGGTTAGAGCTCTACGTCGTCGGTTTTACAAAACACCCTTTCATAGCGCTGTAAAATCCAAAATAAAAATATGTTTCACACGACGTGTTTTTTCTTCTTAACTCGCTTAAATTACGCTGGACGAAACTCATTCCTTAGAGTACTGGCGCTCATTTGACAGCGCAAATTTCGAAGAACTCAAAAATGTGCTTGCTTTTTAAAAAAACTTTTTTTATGAGTCTGTAGGAGAGAGAAAAGAATTACGCTCTACACCTCGTGGCACAGAGCTCTTTCCTTAGACTACTAGTAACTAACTATTCGATAGCGTAAGTTCCAGTGATTTCAACGTTGTGCTTATTTTATAAAATACCGCTTAGTGGGGAAAATCGGTCGAGTCGAAAATCGTTCTCGACAACCTTGCTTATCGGCTAATTCAAGGGGCGCAAGCGGGGCAGGGCGGGGCGATCGATCGCGTTTGAAATATCGTTTTTCAATTGGGATTTTCTTCACCGCATCGACAGAAACTACAGATAAAAACGCAGATCCTGATTTTACGGAAAGTTATCTGGACGCTGATATGCTTTTCGTGCTTTCAGCGAATTACGCCTGTGAAGAAAATGAAGGCGGATTGCGAGTGCGAAACACAAATTTATTCTGAATTTTGCAGCGTTATGAAGGGATCTCATGAAAAACTGGCGGCATGGGGCTGTAGCTAGAGATTTAAGCTTTCGAATGACTACCAACACTCCTATGAAAAGTTCCTCTTCAGCGAATGAGATCGATTTATAAATTTGCCGCCGCCTAACATGCAAATGCCACTCCCCTTCCAGAGGAAAGGCCGTTAAATAACAAATAAATGAAAAAGTAAACAAACAGACGAGTAAATAAACAAATGAGTAAACAAACAAATAAGTGGAGAAGGCCCTGCCACCTGAATTTTGCAGATTGAAAGTAGGCGAGTATTATTCTGTGTGTGTAATACACCAATCACATCTCAACCGCCGCTATGCCCACAGCGGCTAATACATCGGAGTGGTGGCAAATATGTAGCTTTGGAACTCGGTTGGGAGTTGAACCCGCGTCTCACTCTTTCAGGAGGCACACGCTAACCACTACACCACCAAGGCTCTTGCTCTGCAACCACCTATTATGTGGCTGAAACGTCCCCGATATGGGTAAGGCGATGGCTCAAATCCCACCTGAGGTTCAGAGTTTTGTACGTCACTCAGCATCTTTGGATTATATATATATATATATATATATATATATATATACATGTATATATACATATATATACATGCATTTATGTATGTATACATGCGAATATATACATATATATATATATATATATATATTATATCACATAGTATATCACCTGTATCACCTGTCGTCCCGTTGATCGCGAGTGACTCGAGCGGGTACCAGCAACTCTTCCATTTTTCCCTATCGCGTGCAAGAGTAGACCAGTGGGTCCTCCTTGCTCTAGGAATTCGCTGAGCATCATATCTTTCTTCCATCGCTTTCGTGAAGAAAATCGGACCAACGGGTCAGTGGTCTTCCTTTTATAAACTGTTCCCCAAGCCGCTCGTTTCCTCCTGCTCAACTCTGGGCTAGGTCGTTCATCATGTTGATTTCACGACCTAGATAGATGTAACTGGAGCATTCGGAAATTGTCGTTCCGTTGAGCGTGAATGGGGCATTAGAAACCCATCCGTTCCTCATGAACATTGTTTTCGTTAGATTCAGTTGAAGACCGATCTTTCCACAGGCGTTATCGAAATCAGTCAACATTCGTTCCGCTTGGCTGATGTTTGGTGTTATGAGAACGATATCGTCAGCAAAGCGAAGATGGTTTGATTGTCGACCGTCAATTTTCACGCCCATATCGTCCCATTCTAATGTTCGCATGACGTTTTGTAGGGTGGCAGTGAATAGTTTTGGCGATATTGTATCGCCTTGTCGAACCCCTCTTCTTACGTCCAATGGTGATATTGTTGTAGAATGGAGATATTCTGGTCGTGAAATCTTTATAAAGCTCACGAAGGATCATTATGTACCGAGTAGGGACGCCCTGGTTATCCAGAGCCTCTATAACCGCTTCTGTTTCCACTGAATCTATATATACTATGTGATTCAGTGGAAAAATCACATAGTATATATGTGCACATATATATACGCACATGTATACATGTATGTGTATATATACGTGTATATATACATATGTATATACATGTATATATGCACATATATGTATATATATACTTATATATGTAGCTTTAATATTGTAACTCTGCTAAGAAGACAGTGAGGAAACCTGTAGATCAAAAATTTCCAGTGTTTGTCAGCTTAAATAGGTTTAACCCTCTGCGGACCATACGGTACGTTTCGTACCAAGCCGCGCGACGTAAAATCTCACTCAGCTACTGTAATGGCACGTCGCGTCTCTTGACAAAGCAGGCGAAGACAGCCAGACGTGCGTGCGCAGACAAGCACATGCAGCCTGCCTGAGCGTCACGTAAGCGACGGCGCGACGCCGCCTGCCTATCAACGGTGGTCCTCAAAGGGTTAAGGCCAGAAAAGCCTAAGAGCAAACATGATTCTCACCGAATTCCTACATCGAAGAGGACAACTCGCTGAACCACCCTAGAATACGAAAGGGAAGGATAGCATCTTAGTAGTGCTCGCATAAGTCCCTCGACATCGACGGGAAGATAGGTAAGACAGATGATATGCTTACTAGAGCAAATCTGTTGGCGGTTGGTCAGTGATAGGTGCGACACCTTATATCGCAGAAAGAGTGGTAGAAAAGGACCTCGATGGTGTAGTGGTAGGACGCGCACTCGGTACGAGTGAAACACGGGATGAAACTCTCGCCTAAGGTTTCCGATTCTGCCTTCTACTCAGCAGTCTTATATATATAGTTCTGACATCGTAACGCTGCTACAAAGGTAGTATAATTAAGAAATCTTGTGAAGTATCTAGTAAGCATTTGAACAGCTGCAACGTAGACTCCGAATTTCTTTTAAGAGTTAGTTTCAAACCATGAGATTAAAGATCATGTTTCCTCAATAAACACTCATGCAAAATAGCGGTTTCTATGGTCTATAGCAAAAATGAAGATTCTTTGTTATCTGCTATTTACAAAGGGGCAGTGGTCGAATAGTTGTGATGCTCGTCACGGCGTGCGCGAGGGCCAGACCCCATCACCAACGCTCTGCGACAATCAATAAACGATCGCCTTATGGTACGCCACAGCCAGGCTAGCCTCGAACAAGGAAGGAGACGTGTTCGACAGCTATTCTAGGACGTAACTTTCGTTTCGAGTGTTTTCTTAAGACCACAGCTCAAATTTCAATATGCCTGGTAATCATTTTTGAGCCACGCATGTTAGTGGTCTGTCAAAGAGGACTGACTTATAGAGCCCGATGCACGTGTTTCGATATTGCGATCTCGTCAGTCGGGCAGTTACCCTTTCTCGTCTTTTGCCAATCCTCTGTGGGTGCTCCAGTCCCCACACTAAGAGTTAGCGACAACGAACTTTTTACACTTTATGTCCAGTGAAATTATCACCGAACACAGAGTGTTGTACACTCGATTGCTCATGGCTGGTACATTCAATATATCATAACTTTCCAAAAAATTCAAAAGTTAGACTTTCTATTAACCTCGGCATAATTAATTGCTCTATGAAGTTGAGTAAACTTATCTTGATTAGCTGACTCGAGGTTGCTAAATTAGTCGTAGAAGTTCGGCTGACGTTTCGGCGAACCCCCTTTTTCAAAGCCTGGGCGTATGTGGTCTTAGTCTATTTGAATGATTTGCATGGTCTTATTTATATGCTGCCTAGGTCAGGTAAGAAGATCAAACGAAGGAAGGGGGCGAAATCTCGCGTGATGGTAGACGCATTCGTCCTTCCGGTTCATTTCGGGATTGAGCGTTTATCCAAAATGCGTCAAAAGTTTTGCCGCGTCGAGCAATCGAGTGTACAACACTCTGTGTTCGGTGATAATTTCACTGGACATAGAGTGTAAAACATTCGTCGTCGCTAACTCTTAGTTGTGGGGACTGGAGCACACCACAGATTGGCAAAAGATGAGAAAGGGTAACTGCCCGACTAACGAGATCGCACGATCGAAACACGTGTATCGGGTTCTATAAGTCAGCCCTCTTTGACAGACCACTGACATGCGTGGCTCAAAAATGATTACCAGGCATATTCTAGGAAGTTCAAGAAGAAGATGAAGAAACGAAGTGAATGTTCGAAGTACTGGAATCCGCACAGCGAAACAGAATATTTGTGAAGACGGTTCAGTAAAGTAATATTAGAAGAAAAGTGAAAACGTTTGGTACCACGCAAATCAACTCCTTACGGCTATCATTCCTATGTTGTGAAGGATGTACAGCACATACTGACTAGCCCTTGATGGAAAAGCTTATCCAGTTGTGTTATTTTTAGAAGATAAAGATTTCCTTTGCACTTTCGCCACTAGAATTCTTTTGAAGGACTCTTCAGATTCCTTTTTATTTAACCGCTACTAGCGGTGGTATGGAAAGAGCGAGGTGCGGGTTCTAGTCCTGACTGACGCGATAGTTTGCACATCTCTCTACATCGTTGGATTTTTTAGAGTTAAGTATGAGAAAAATCCAGTTGTTATGACTTCTTTCAAGTTGAGAGCGAAGTCGGAACGAGTCACCTCCCCATCTTGACAGTTTTATTCGACGGTCAATTTGAAACTTTGAAGAGAACAGGAAACTCCTCGCTTATGCAAGGTTCTCTATGACTGGCCCACAATAAATGATTGGAAGACTCAAAATTTGCGAAATTACCTAAAGAGGTGATGCCTTCGAAATGTCAGCCATCACTATTCTATCAACTGTATTTGTGCTATATTGTATTTGATAAATAATACTGTTCAATGCGCCGCATTTGTTTATTAAGAAAAGGAACTGGAGACTTGTTACAGATACATGAAAATATGGGCTTTGGATTATTGGAATTTGGTTTTTGCTGATTTGTTGTTGATTGTTGATTTGGAAATTGATTTTCTGGATCGATAGCACAAGATTATAGAAAAAAATTTACCTTGCGATCAAGATCAGCCAGTATTGTAAATCAGTTCCAGGGCAATTACCTTGTTACTTTTACAGAAAATTTTGATGGCTTCGCGTACTGCGGTAATTCTAAGGATGTTCCAATATTCTCAAAGTCACGTCTTAAATCACGTAGATGGCTTTTGATAAAGGAGTGCTCCAAGAAAAGGCATGATAACACCTCTGAAGCTTTTCTTTGGGTTTTCATAATTCTAACCATTTGAGAAAGTACGGAAAAATTTCGGTGACTTTCTATTTAATTACTTTCCATTATCTCCTCAAATCATGGGTAACAAAATTCAGAAAACAAGTTGTAGAACTAAGAGCAGTTTATAAAGCCAGCAAACAAAGCTGCACTCAATATATGCTACGTGAGCTCATGAGGCTATATCAGCCATGTTTCTCTCTCATATTACTATCGTCCTTCTTTTTGTGAAAGCAAAATCGATTTTCAGCATATAGCGTTGGTTTCTCCAAAACTTCTCTCTGATGTTATTGCCTTCATCTGAAACAAGATTCAAGTATTTTGGATGTCTGTAGGATACGGTGATCTCCTTGCAACAGAACGAATGAATTCTCAAGTAGGCCTCTATTGTACTCGCGATGATGCGGTAAGTACTTTTCTTTACATGAAGCCTTCAAGTTATCAGCTGCTACTAACATTTTATGCAATCTCGTGAACGGCACCAAAGTCACAGTCATGGAGTCATTTTCCAGTATTTGTTCATTGCTGTGATTTCGATGAGCGTGACTTCACCTCACCATGATATAACTGGTCTCAACAAATTGTCTAACAGTGACGGTGTATCACTCTGATCTGCCACATGTACGGTCCGCTGCACTTCAAAGGGTCACAGTGCGATCATTCCGACCACTTCGGTCAAATCTGTCAGGAATCGTTTTGGATATTGTTCCCTTCTAGACTATTTGCCGTTGTAATATTTAGCCTACCTAATTTATAGAGCTTGCATACTCTTCCAGTTTGGTCTCTTTTGTGTTCACAAGTGTTGCCTGTTCGGTATCTAAACACTGCCTA